CCCTCTTTGTATCTGTCTACTTTTACTCCCCCTGGCATTTTTATCTTATGAGATGGCCACAGTTAAAACAGTAGGTGCAAGGGAAATTACAGTATTTCGTAGTGTAGACCTGAACCAGTTGAACTAAAAGTAGCTTGAGTATGATAACTTACCAGGGAAGGGTGCAAAGTGAAATGAAATGTTCATAATTAAAAGCACTTTATGTCTCATTACTATTATGTTCTATAGACTCTGTTTACATATATTCCTATATGATTTCCACGTTTCTAGTCAAGAAAAACATAATGGTGCGGCAGTGTTAACCAACAGAAAGTTTCTAATTGACTCTAGAACTTGTTCTTCTGTGGAAAAGTGTGTTTCTTTCCCATCAAGTATATAGTACATCTAATAACAGTTTTTTCAAGTAGATACGGCGGGGGGGAGGGGGTGCTTGCTGATCCCTTTAAACTCTGTTGGAATTCACAAAAAGAAACTGGTGGTGAGTGGACACCTGCTCTTGTAGGACCTACACAGAACTAGCTTGAGGAAGGAATGCTAGAAAGTCACTCTATTTATAACAACAGCAAAAAAATTTATGTTATTTACTTTTAAGATACATATACATTATACCATGCAACAACTTCATAATTGCATGGCAAAGCTTGTGTTTGTATGGAGTTAAGAAGTGGTAGTTATTTGCTGCTTAGTCTGTTACTGTAAGTTGAGTTAAGTATCGTATTCCAAAGATGAGGTGACATGTAGTTTACTGGTCTTGGATTTTACAAGGTCTGTGTCAGTGACTGCAATGAAGAGAGAATTGTCATGCAATTACATGGTAGCTGTGATCCTTACACACTCAGAAGCCACCATGTAGTTCTTCTGAGATTATTTGTGCCTTGTAAAATGATAAAATGCTAGAATGTTATGAGCAGGCATAGCATCATACATCTCTGTGACAGAGCGATATGAACAGTCAGATGATTGTTTAGATGAAAGATCTTAAATGCATAACATTTCGGAGAGGTGTTTATTTTTGTTTAATTTTAAGCTTCATAGAAAATCACTTCGGAATTCAGCATGCATGCCTGTCTTCAGGTTTGTTTTATTTCCCTGAGTTTGCATGAATGCCAGGGGATTAGGTGGCTGTTGATTTCTTTAGGTCTTTCAAGCTTTTCTAGCCTTAACCCGTTCAGCGAGGCTCGTGCCACACCACCAACAAAGGGGAATCTGTTCAAGAAGTACCTATGGAAAGAGGAAAGAAATATTCTGGGGACAGAGAGAAAAGTTTTATATTCTGTGATATATAAGCCTTCAAAGATTCCAGTACTTTGGCAGGGGAAAATGTTTTTACTTCTTTTTTTATTTTTTTAAGCATCAGTCGTTTGATTTCTGTTCTGGTTGTTTGTTTCAGGGATCACATTGCTATTTTCTTGAACAGTCTCATTGCCAATGGAAGAGTGCGATTTGTACAGTTCTTTTATTTTTGTAAGTTAGTTGTATCTTTAATATTGCATATTTTAAAACAGCACTAAAAGTATTGCCAACTGGGGTTAAACCACGACAAGTATATAAAGATTTGGGGAGTTTCTAACAAGTTTTCGCTAATCAGTGAATACTGATGAGCTGAATGCCTATCATGCCGTGGTATATGATAAAAATCTTCAGAAGCAGAAAGATGCTTATACAAATAAGATCAGAGCAATTTCCAGTAAATGAATCTGCTTTGGTTATACCATGTCCTTCCACATCTCAAATATGTTGTTTCTGATACTGGATCATAGTGCAGAGATAGTTAAAATTTTGTATATTCATTAAGTCAGAGACTTGTAAGTTAGACAAAATGTCAAATCATCACCCTGTCTTGCCTTATGTTAAGAATATACCGAGAAAGAAATTGTCATTTAAAATAAAAGATTATTCTTTTTCCCCGAAGACGACCTGCTCTTAATGTTCATGGATAAAAATAATCAGATAGAAAAATTATGCATTGCAAATTACTGATGAAAACTAATATGGGATTAAGATATGTATCTGAGACTGTTGTACTCTATCTCACATCTGTAATTTATGACTGTTGGAAGTCTCTTGCATGTCATGTCAGTGGTATGTACTGCAGAAAGGCAGTATTGTATTTTGACTGGGTATTCATTTAGTCATGGAACTTTGTATCTTTACTCTGGAAGAACATCTAGCCCGCTTTATTAAAGAAAGAATTAACAAATTTTCTGGGCTGTGCTTGTGCTGTTTTCTCAAAAAGGAGGGAAAGCTTTTTGACTAGAATACTGAAAGTATGATTTCTGAGAACAAGGGTGATTAAAAACTTTAAAACTATCTCATTATCTATATAAGCATGAAGATTATTAACATTTAGATCAGGTTTTATATATATGATCCAGGGAATAAAACTGCTTGTCGTTTATCTCACCCAAACAACATAGAACATTTCCTATTTTACCATATTCATTGTGTCTGAAAATAACAAACCAGAATTTAACATGGTATAACTCTTCTGCAATTTCATGAAATTTGGTATAGTCACATCATTGTGTCTCAGTCACAGTCCCAGTGTACAGTACTTTTCTGAATCTCAATACTTCATTTCACATTCTTATGTGTTTCCTGTGATTCTCCAGCATGTTCTCCTCATTAGATGGCACTGAGGCAGCTATTTAAAAGATTAAATTTCAGATTTAAGATGTACTTGTGCCTGGCAGTTACAATGTTATCTGTTCAAATACAGACACAGTAATCCTAACGTGAACAGAGTTCCGAGTTCTGGGTGTCAGCCCTTAAATAATACTTTTGATTTTGTGCTGCATGTGTTGGTCTTGAGTGAATGTCTGTAATGGTTTATTAGACTTGAAAAGGTGCAATTTCATAAAATAAACTTCATTTGGCTACAGAATAGTAATTACACTGTCTCATAAATTGTGCTGTCCTTTTAAGAGTGATTATATACAGTCTCTGCATTAGTGTTTCCTGTGTCACCGAATCTGCTAGACTCCCAGTTTAGTACCTAGCTAAATTTAGAGATGAAAGAGCATGAAAGAAGGTCATCAGAGAAACGGCAACTTGAAACGTGCACATAGGCAACTTGTTTGCCTGCTGCTCGCAATATATTTAACCACTGAAGGGGTGAGGGAGGTTTTAGGTATGTGGGAGGATCCTGCAAGAGGCAAAGTGCATAACCCCAGAAAGACAATGAGCCGGAAGGGATGCAGCGTGAGACTCTCTTAAACTACAGGTTCTTTAGGGCAGGAACCATCTTTCTCCCTGAGTTTGTACAGATCTTCTAGCATAGTTTGCCGTGATCACAGATGCTTTCAAAGTTAGGATAATAATAATAATAATAATATACTCAGGTTTTGCTCTTTCAGACAGTGAGCTAGATGTAATCCAATAGTAATAGCTTAGCTGATAGCAGTAGTATTGTATCAGAGGAATTTGGTCCCATACTGCTGAAATAAGTGCAATTGAAGAGCAGTAGCTTAAATAAAAAAATGAAAACAAAACAAAAAAACCCATGCCAGAAACAGGACAACAATGTTGCTGAATACAAAAAGCTGTATTTCCCTCCAGGCGTATATGAAGTATAAGAAGTATTTTCTAAAATGGGCTTCAGGTAGCACTTGTGTGCCTTGTTTGACTACGCCAGGTAAGTTTGTGCAATCCTATCTTCGTTTTAACTTGCAAAAGCCTAGCTGATGCTGCGATGGAGGAAGCATTAAAATATACCAGCTGCAGAGGGAAGACACTGCGGTTCCATTTTCTATGAATGGTAAGAATTTGATCCTTCAAATCCCACTGATTTAACACTTTCACTATCTTCCATGGTGACAACATGAAAAACCCTGTAATCATTTCCAGAGACCTTATGGGAACTCTGCTGCTTAAGTCACAGAGCTTTGAGCTGAGAAAGTTTTCACAGCTTTGCCTTTCACCATGAGCTTCAGGGACTGTGGCGAGATTAGGTTTGTCTGAATTTTTAACTGGTACAAAGAAGCATTCAAAGATGCTATAAATTATCACGTCAGTATTTGAGACCTTTTGGAATATAAATTGCTACATAGTTTTGAGATGGAAGAAGAGTTGTCACAATACCTCGATTTGCCACCTGCTGTGTTAACTGAATCCAGGGGATGGGGAATATAGCAGCATTTTCAGATCAGCATTAAATTACCCTTTAAAATAAGAGAAAATATCAAGCAAACAGCTACTAATAGGCAGATTGTCAGAGGTGTCATATAGCTTGCTGGATAATATATACCTCTGTGCGATACTCGGGAACATGCCTCATTTTTATCCGTAAATAGGGGGACTTGCAACAGCCTGGAACACACGGCAGAAAATGTGCGTGAATGTGAGCCTGTTCTTAAAAACATTTTCCAAGCTCCAAGGATTAAAATACATCAGAATGCTAAAAAAAAATTAAATACACACAAAGCTTATTTAGGCTTGCAAAGATTATCAGGTCTCAATAAAGTTTCATCTAGTTTAGAAAAAATGTTAAATTTTCTTATTAAAATCTGATTACTTACTTTATTGCTTGTTCCACCGTGCAGATTTCCATTTACCACTGACACTGCTGTCTGGATTGCTGCAGTATTTGCACCCATAGTCAATCTAATACCCACTCCGCCAGCAGCACAGGGGTTGAACAGTATTAGGGTAGGTTTCGGTGTGAGCACTCTGTTACTTTCTCTGGTTATTGCCTTCCTTACTTATTACTGACTCGCAGTCCCTACCAGTGCTTTTATCCACATGTGTCTTTTCTTATTGATCTTTGATTGTAAGGTCTGCAAGTCTTTTGGCATCACATGTGCGCTGCACATGTAGCGATGAAACTCCAGCCTCCAGGTGATAGCGCAGTGCGACTTACAAAGGCACCTAAAAGTAGGAGTTTGGGACCACAATGAACTCACTGTATTTCAGAATTGTGCTTCAGACCAATAACGTTCAAAATCTGGAAAAAAA